TGGAAGTGGACTAGCATTTTTCCCTGGTGTAAGAAGGGACTTTGAGAGCCCATCCCACGTGAAGGGTTACACTCTGACCCTGGACACATGGGGAAGGGCTCAGGCCCAGCACAGGAAGATTTGGTGGACTTTGCAAAGCCCCCATTGAGGACCCTACCATGCCTGGGGAGTGGTGTGTGGATGGGGTGGGGTTGGGCTGGGGGTGGGGAAGGAGGGATGGGGGTGAGGGGAGGGAGAGGGAGCAGGGACTTACACGTGAAACAAGCTTGTTCTCTAACTAGAACTAATAAATAAATTAAAAAAAAAAAAAACAAAACAAGAACCTCCTCCCAGACCCACTTAACAGGCAGCTGTGTAATGATTCTGCTACTTAAGCTTATTTTTCTTCATGGATAGTTTAATATTTACAATGGATATTTTGATGGTTGCTATGGCTTCCCTGTCTTTAGAATTGACTATACTTATATGGGTCAGGGTCTCAGCAGTGCTGCCATATGTCGCTGGATAAATTAAGTGTGGGAGGACTGTCCTGTGCACTGTAGGATGCTTAGCCGCATCCCTGGACTCTTCCCACTAGAGGGCAGGAGCAACAACCCCACCCTCCAAGTTGTCACACCCAGATGTGTCTGCAGTGCCAAATGTCCATGAGGGAGCAATCTGCTGCCTACACCCTCTCCTCCAATGTGACGAAGTACTTATGTTGGCTCTGAGAAGTAGGTCAGGCTACTGTAGCCCTGGTGTTTGCTTTCAGAGGAGGAGGTAACACAAGTGGCTTGTGAGGGACAGACAAAACAAGAGGCACCACTACCACCAACACAACACAGACAAAATACATCAAACAAGCAAACCAATAAAATCAAGCATTATTGTTTAGTGGGAGCTTTACAGGCGAGCCAGTCACTGTGCACATTAGTCATTCCTTTTTCTCTAAACAATCCAACAAGGAAGAATAATTTTCCAGGTATATGGGTAAAGAAACCAAGAGGTTGCATAGCTGATAATCACCTAGAAGATGGGCTGTGAATCTACAGCCCCCATCAAATCGTATGGAGGGCACACGCCATCTCCTGAACAGTGCAGCAAACATTAGATGTTACATTGGAAGGATAGCTTTTGCCTCCTGGTTAGCTGAAGGAAGAGAACCAGCAAACACACCCAAACAGACCTGCAAATTGGTTACAGTTGGGGTGAGTATTTGGGTTTGCTTAACTTGGACTGAATTTAAATAAGCCTGGCAGGTGGAGGATTACTGAGGGAAAATGGGGACCCAGCAACTTCTCTGTCAATGTTAAGTTAGGCAGCCAGAAAGGGTTCTGTGAAGCCTGGGTGGTACTCTCGGCCCTGCTTGTCACAAGGCATGGAACCCTCCTCTCAGCTGTGGTGGCTGCAACTGCAGCAGGGTTCTCGGTGTTTAAAGCTTGTCTTTGGCCTACAAATAAATGACCTGAGATGTGAATATCTGTGGTATGCATCTCTTTAATCAACACTTACCAGCATAGTGTTGCATAAATGATTCAGAAAATACCAGTTCCATAAATATCACATTACTTCAAAAAGTCTGCACCTTTTCAGGTGAGGAAATCGGAGGGTGTGATACTCAGAAGTTGCCTTTTAGCATGAGCTGTGTGAGCACTGAAGAAAAACATCTTCCTTTTCCTGCGTGTTACATGTGGCTGTAATAGCCTACGTTATAAATAGCCACCAACTATTTGGGTGTTCAGATGAACAAAGCAAGGGAAAGGGGGACAACCCTACATAAGAATTGACTGGCACTCTAGTAAGGTTTACACCAGGGTAAAAGAAAAGTAATTTCATGGATCTACAGTATGTCCAAATCTGTCATTCACATCATTTCTGCCTTGGACATACGATCTTTTGATAAATGTGGTCCAAGCTGTGACTTTCCTTAGTATTAAATACTTGGGTTTTGCAAAACTGGATTAAATCAGCCTGCCAGTTTAAACAACAAGGGCACCTCCACGCTCAGCCAGTGCAGCTGGCCTCTGGTGATAAACTCATGTTTGCTTTTTAGGCAATGTGCTAGCTGGTATTTTGTCAACTTGACACATTTGGGAAGAGGGAACCTCAACTTTGAAATGGCCTGCCAGCTCGGTCAGCC